CTTGGCGGAAAGACCTACGGAATTCTATGTATCAGATTTTCTAAGCCTGAACTATTTTGAAATATTTTGGAGGGTATATCCTACAGTTAATATCAGTGGCACACACCTTTAATGCCAGTAGAGGCAGAGGGAGGTGGATCTCTGTGAGCCAGAGATCCGCCTGGTCTACATAGTGAGTTCCAGGCCACTCGGGCTACAGGAAGACCCCGTCTCAAAAAAACCAAAAAAAAAAAAAAGAAAGAAAATTTGGCTGTAGAGTTTAATCTGCTTTACATAGCCTTCAAGATGGGGGAACTTGACGGCTGAACATAGTGACTCAAACCTTTAATCCCAACACTTGAGAGGCAGAGGCAGGAGATCTCTGTGAGTTTGAGACCAACCTGGTCTACATAGCAAGTTCCAAGCAAGCCAAGGTCACATAGTGAGACCCTGTCTCAAAACAGGAATGGAGGGAAGGGGAAGGGGTGTTAAAGACCGGGTCTCCCTGTAGCCACAGCTGGCCTGGATTTGCTATGGAGACTAGGCCAGCCTTGAACTCACAGAGAAGGATTAAAGGTGTGCGCCACCCACTCCCAGCTTTTTTTTGTTTTTTTAATGAACATAACCAACAAATAGATTTCTGAGCAAAGACTACAGTATTAAAGTCATGCTATAAAGATAAAGGTGTTCAGTAATTAAGAACACACAACAATACTAAACATTTATTCACCCAATAACAGCTTCAGATAAAAAAAAAAAAGCAAAAAAAAAATGACTGAATTATTAGCCAGGTGTGGTGGCGCATGCCTTTAATCCCAGCACTCAGGAGGTGGAAGTAGGTGGATTTCTGTGTGATCAAGGCCAGCCTGGTCTACATAGTGAGTTCTACCAGGCCAGTTGGGGTACAGGGAGACCCTGTCTCAAAAGAAAATTTGAACTGCAAGGAAAAATAGACAAATCCACAGTAGTCAAATATATCAATGATTCTCCCATTGATTGCATAACAAGTAGAAAATCAGTGCGGTTACAGCAGGCCCCAGCGGCATGAGCAACGTCTCAGAGCATGCATAGACACATCACCCACATCAGCAGAATCGATGATTTCCCTAAGTGCTTTCAACTTTTTGGTTTGTTTGTTTGAAATAAGATCTCACTCTCTAGCTCAGTCTGGCCTGGAACTCACTCTGTAGTTCACGCTAACCTGAATTTGTGGCGATCCTCTTGACTTAGCTCCCCAAATGCTGGGATTATAAGTATGTACCATCCTGCCCAGCAAAATTTCAGTTTAATTATATATGTACTTTTAAATTTTATTTTTATTTTATGTGTATGAGAATTTTGCCTACATGTAAGTGCCCCACATGCATGCAATGCCCACTGAAGCCAGAAGCGTGTATTGGATCCTCTGGAACAGGAATCACAGATGGTTGTTAGCCACCATGTATGTGCTGGGAACCAAACCTGGGTTCTTTGCAAGAGCAGCAGTGCTCTTAACTACTCCAGTTCCAGTTAATTATATTTTAAAGTTTTAATTGATTCATTAAAAGATATTTTATGTATTATTTTTAGCATATGAGTGTATTGCCTGCATGAATGTATGTGCACCTGTGACACCCAATGCCCAGAGAGTTGTAAAAAAAAAGGGCATTGGATCCCCTCGATCTGGAGTATGGATGGTTGTTAGCTGCCATGGGTGCTGGGAATCAAACCCGGGTCCTCTGCAAAAGCGGTCAGTGCTCTTAACCACTGAGCCATCTCTCCAGCCATTCATTAATTTTTTGGGGGGTGGGGTGTCTTTAAGACAGGGTCTCACTGTAGCCCCAGCTGGCCTGGAACTCACTATTTAGACCTGGCTGGCCTTGAACTCACAGGGATCTGCCTGCCTCTGCCTCCCAAGTGCTGGGATTAAAGGCATGTGCCACCATGCCTGGCTATTTTTTTAACTTTTTGAGATAAGGTCTCATTATAGTAAAGACTCAGGATGGCCTGGAACTCACTTTCCAACCCACACAGGCTATAATATCTCAGTCTTCAAGGGCTGGTGAGTTGGCTCAGAGGGTAAAGGTACTTTCCACCAAAACTTGATGACCTGAGTTTGATCCTTGGCTCACATGGTGGAAAGAGAGAACCAACCGTCATAAGTTGTCCTCTGACCTCCATATGCACACCATGGCATGTATGTGCCCAAACACACACAATTTAAGTCTTGGTCTTTCTTCAACCATCTGAGTGCAGGGCTTCAAGCATGGACCACCCATGTTTTTCTTAAGTGCATGTGCAACATTTACCAAGACAAATGATATTCTGGTATAATTACATTTACAAGATTTCAAGTCACATAAAGTATGTTCTGTGACTGCAGATGTAGAAATCAATTCCTGGAGGGAAATTCCAAATGTTTGGAAATAAAATAACACACTTCTGTTAAATTCATGGGTCAGACAAGAAATGAAAAAGAGACATTAGAAACTATTTTGAATAAGCGAAAATGAAAACACAACGTATAAGAATTTCTGG